AAAATAGAAAGCTCTAGTGTATGTGTGATGCTCTGAACAGATGTGAAGCAGAGTACAGTTGGTATGTTTCAGGAAATATGTAAATAAAGTACATGTAACTAGTGTGTGTGTCCAGTTATCTTTTTAAACTGTCCTAATTACTCTGCAGTTTTCACTCATCTTGAATCACAGTATTCTCATCTGTAATGCTACTTCTGCTCTCAACTTGTATGATGATGAGCTTGCGTCTTAAGCATTTATGAAACATTCTGGTATAGATACTTTAAATACAAAAAGTAAAATTGAATTTAAAAGGCAACAGTTTTTGGAGTGTTCCTACACTGTTGCATGTCTATAATGTAGCATCTGTTGGTTACTTGGCTTTGCAGGTGTTGGCTCTAAGGTGGTGATTTCCAGAACACTCTTCAGTGTCTGCAGTTGATTTTGGCTGAGCATAAGCTCCTATGAAACCTTGTTATGTGGCTGTCTGTTCTCAAACAGCTAGTGTTTCCTTCTGTGTCAGTGATTGTAAGTAACAGCTACTAAGAGACCACTTTATCCATATAGAATAATATTCAAACAATCTCCTTGCACTCCAGAGACATTAGATTTCCTTCAACAGGAAATCAGTGTTCTAACTCAGATATCTATTATCAATGCAGGATATCTTGATTTGAAGAGTTTCTTTTTTTAAAAAATATAAAAATCTCTGAAGATAACAGCTGATGATTTTTAAAGGTGCTATGTGACAGTAGTGTGCTTTCAATGGAAACAGAAATGTGAATTATTAATTTCAGTTTTAGGTGTTTATCACCACACTTCTACAGAACGCAATAAAGCTACAGCCTGATAGTTACTCCTAAAACATAAAGTAACAAAGACTGTTCTAGCAAAAGCATATTTACATGACTTTTGAGACTGCCACCAAAGGAAGAAAAAGTGTGACAGGACTGCCATTTCAGCTGTAAGCTCAAACCTGGAGTAACATGGATTTTTCAGTCCTATCAGTTCTAAAAAAAAAAAAAAAAAAAAGCCAGATGCAGCATGAGTTGCAGCTTAATAATACAATTTTTTTATTGCTGTTAAACTTTTTTCTTGGAAGAATTCTGGTATTTTAGCTTACAGTGTGTAGACAGGAGAGGCAAATGAAACAGATAAAATTATTTTAATAGAGAATAAAATTGTATGTAAATGTGCCTGTACAAAATGACATTCTTCCAAGGGGTGTGGCATTGTCGTTGCATTAAATGCTTCTCCAGGATTCCAACTGTTTGAAATAACCCTACACAGTCGGTACAAAATTGCTTCTCAACACTGGGAAAGATAATGCTCTTAGTGTAAGTGTTAAAGGTTCTCAGTTGAGAATGCAGCATTGAGTACTTTTGGGTTTAGATCATTCCAGAAATAAACATCTTAAATGTATGAACCTCTAGTCTTTCAGACAATATTAATCCTGATATGTAGTGCTCAGGACCTCTGTTAATTTGTGTTGCTTTTCTAGTATAGCTGGTAGAGAGTCATTTACACTTTAAAATTGGTAAGATGAATTATGTGAGAGGTATCATTTTAAAATTAATCATACTTCTCTGTGTGAAATAAATTCAAATCTTAGAAGGATCTAAAGTTTTTAAGCAAAATAGGATGAGATTTTAGTTTAATATATGGGCTTTATCTGTGCATATAAATGGACTTAAAAGTTTGGGATGTTCCATATTTTCAGTATTGTGTCACCAAGTTCTCCTTCACATCAGTGTCTCATTTTTGGTTAATGAAGTATTCACGTGTAGGAGAGGGGAATGAGATGTCTTTAATGTAAAGAATATCCTTCCCTGCTGTGAGATTACTTCCTTATTGTGGTTTTATGCGGTAAATCTAGCTATGAACTTCCAGTGCTTGGTATTAAATACTGAACCCACATTGTGCAAGAAACCGATCTGCTTTAAATTCATTAGTCTGCTTTCTATTTGTTCAAAAATTATGTCTGTATAACTTTATATCAGGAGACTCTAAGTCATTAAACCTGACTTTATACTGGCTTGAGTACAGTCATTTTTGCAGCAGCTTGCTAAGAACTGGCTCTAGCTGTGACTCATGCTCTGGCTAGCAAAACACAAGTATAATCACATATCTTCAGTTGACCTGGGTCGAATTCTACCAGGTAATCCAACAGCGCATCATTGATCTGCTGTCCATTGTGGAACCTTCACTTTGGTGTGTTTTCTGTATGTAAGTAACTCAGTTTGGTATGATCTATGTGGGAACACACACATGGAATTAATTTCTGAGCCGATACAGGACTGTCATGCTCATCAGCATGTGTAGTTAATTCCAGGTTGTAGTAGGGATTCCTTTTATATACTCCCATTTTTCTCTCAGTGAACTCTGAAAGAATGGGCATAAAGCAGAGGAGGAGATACCTGAAAGTATTATAGAAATAAATGATTTGGACTTTATTCTGGTTACAAAAAGCGGACTGTCAGTCTGATGAAAACTGCCTGTGTGTTAAATTGCATCATCTGGCTCAGGACAGAAAATAACTGCAAATTTAGGGTGTGTGAGAGAGGTTTGTTTGCATAAGGAAATTATGTAGAGTAACACCTGAGTAAATAAATACTATTTTGAAGTCATACTACAGATGGCTTTTCATCTTTAACTGCTTCTGTTTTTTCTTAGAGCCATTATAAAAAAGTGTGTCTATATCTAAAACATAAAAGACATTAAAAATGTAGATTATAGCAGTCCCAAGATCTTTTCTATTATGGAAAGGCTGTAGGTAGAATGGAGCATAGGAAGAAAAAAACTTCCTTCAGCATTTCAGGTTTTCTTTTTCTATACATCTTATCCACATGTGAAGAGAAACATGTCTGTCTGTGTCTAATTTGCTCATGTATTGGAAATAGATAAACCAGTAGATAGCTCCATAAAGGTCACCTGCTATTCTTTGAATCTAGTTTCTTGTAGTATACACCAGAGAGGTAGATAAGATTTTTACCTATATCTACACAGAGCATCATCAATTTTTAGCTAGGATAGGAATAACTTGCCATGGACTTGAGTTGATGGTAGTTGCTGATTCTCCAAGATACATCAGTAACTTCTGATACATCTTAAAGCTACTAAAGACCTCCCAAGGATGTTGAATTAGCTTCTCTGTTCATGTTTCCTCTTTAAGGAACAGTTTCAAGGTAAGTTTAAGTCAGTCTTGGGAATTAAATGACACAGCAGTCTAGTAGTGATCTGGAATAGTCAATTAAGTCTTAATCTTATCTCTTGGATACTTTAATGTTTTGGTTAAGAAGTTAGCATTCTTTTTCCACATATTAACAACTGTTCTTCAGTTTGTCCTGAGGTGGCTTTTCCCCTGTGCTTCATGTGAATGAATCTTAAGTATTTCTGGCTATTTCTCAATCTTGCTGTGTCAGGTTAAGTTTTGTTAGTCTGGTGTTTATTGAGAGTTGTAACAAACCTAGCCTAAGCTGATGCAACAGCAAAGCCTTAACTGACTCGTCTAAATACAGAATGAAGATGCTTCCAAAAGTTACTCTGCATTTTAAAGATTGTACTGTAGATGTACTTTTAATACTAAACGTTGAGTAAAGACCAGACAAGATTACCAGAGTTGATGCTAGACTTTACAAAATCTCCCTCTGTTAATGTGACCTTCAGATATAGGTGGGTCGTCATAGAGACTGTTGAGGAGGGACTGTTGGGAGGACATTGATTGGAAGTTGTGAAGAAGGTGGTTGGGATGTTATTGGAGTTGATTGCTGGGCATTTCACCCACTGTAGATTATCTGGAATTGTATTGGGCCAGGCAGAGCAGTGTCCAGGAACGGGCTCCTGAGCTATGGGGAAAAGGCATTTGGAGATAAAACTAATTGACTTAGAATGTTTTAAGAACAAAACCTAAATTTGAAAGTAAAGTCTGCAGTGTAACAGTTGTAATTCATGTAAGTTATGTTTCAGACTTGGAAAGATTGGTTGGTTCACTGGCTACATCAGTCTCAGAATAGTGTAAATATTTATGACTTGATTATTTGTAGAATGTATTTGGTTGTGAACATTCTGATGCCTGTCAAGCCGTGGAAATTCGTGCATTTTAAAAGAAATAGTTAATGATTTTAGCAGTGTCTGAGCAAGAACAAGTTTACTTTTACACCAAAGTACGTATCTTCTAATACGTGGTTTCTTCTAATGCAGTTAATACAGTATTCTTAAAACAATGTAGTTTCATTTTTTGTCCTAATTCCTGTGAGTTTAATGACGTTTGTAAATTCGCAAAAGCAGAACAACTAAGTGACTATAGGTCTAGTAGTTTTTACTCCCTAAATTAGCATGTCAAGTGAAATAGGCCTAAATACAGTTTTAGAAGTATTATCCTTCTTTTATCTTAGCTTTTTGTAGTAGGAATCCATAGTTGATCATGGCTCTTCTCAATTTCGCAATCTGTTTTTATGCAGGTTTTTTCATGTTCTATCTCTGAAATTTGTCTGCAGCCACCAGTTATTAGAAATGATGATACCTTTTGTGTTACACTGTGTAATTGCTCACTGACTGAAAGATACTACGAAAGACTAATTCCATTTGTACTATGCAAAGCTTAATCATAGTGACAGCAGCGCTTCCATCTTTGGTGTCAAAAGAAAGCAAGCAGCAGGGAAAAGAAATGCAAGAACTCCATCAGTTTCCAGTGCCTGTGCTGTGTTCCAGATTCATAAAACTGGTATTCTAGGTACATTTAAATTCATTGCTAAGTGTGTAGTCTACAAAATTATAGCAGACTTGTTAAAAAAACCTGAGTCTTCCTTCTGCGAGTGCTTCTCCATCACGCAAGGCTGAATCACTTCTATTCAGTGAATGTGCTTTGAAGTGGCTTCTAAATACACGTTCTGTTACAACAGAACTGTGGGGTTCTCACTCTTAAGCCTTGACTGCAGGAAGAGTCTTAAACTTTTGTTACAAGTTGACTCCCGTCTAGAAGGAATTTTGGGATCTAGAAGAAATTTAGAATCCTGTATTTCATGGTGGAAGTACTGGAGGAAGTTTGCATGTTCTTCTTTAAGACAAACCCTTTGAATTTTCTTTTTGTCTGTGTTTTCAGGTGACTGAGTTGAATGAGCCTCTCTCAAATGAGGATAGAAACCTGCTGTCTGTAGCCTACAAGAATGTAGTTGGAGCTAGACGATCTTCCTGGCGTGTCATCAGCAGCATAGAGCAGAAGACTATGGCAGATGGGAATGAGAAGAAACTGGAGAAGGTTAAAGCCTATAGAGAGAAGATAGAAAAGGAGCTCGAGACAGTCTGCAATGATGTTTTGGCTCTCCTAGATAAATACTTGATCAAGAACTGCAATGACTTCCAGTATGAGAGCAAGGTCTTTTATCTGAAAATGAAAGGGGATTACTACCGCTATTTGGCAGAAGTTGCTGCTGGAGAGAAGAAGAACAGTGTTGTGGAAGCCTCAGAAGCTGCCTATAAAGAGGCTTTTGAAATCAGCAAAGAGCACATGCAGCCCACTCACCCAATTAGGCTTGGGCTTGCACTCAATTTCTCGGTCTTCTACTATGAAATCCAGAATGCTCCTGAGCAGGCCTGCCTTTTAGCCAAACAAGCCTTTGATGATGCCATAGCAGAGCTGGACACACTAAATGAGGATTCCTACAAGGACTCCACTCTCATCATGCAGTTACTTCGAGATAACCTCACTCTGTGGACGAGTGATCAGCAAGATGAAGAAGCAGGAGAGGGCAATAATTAAAAAGCTTTCCTCCAATCCCTCTTTCATCCACTTTGCCATCCCATCATCACCAATATTTCCTTGCCACAGTCACACTAAATATCTAGTGCTAAGCATATCTGTATTGTACAGCTGTTCAGATCTGCTGTCCACTATTGAGAAGCAGTTTCAGATGAGCCTCCATAGGTATTGATGGATTGACTGGTTTATTGGCCCTATTCTCTTAGTTGCACTTGAGCAGTGCAGAAAGATGCATAGTAAATGAGATTTCAGTTTGCCTGTTGATAGGAAAATATGGGAAAGAATAATGGAAAGTGATTGAGGATAATTGGATTCCAGGGGGGTTTTCTTCTGTTTGAAATGAGCTGACAGTTCTGTTAAGCAGTACATTTTGTGCATGCAAAATTAGCCACTCCCAATTTTTTTCAGTCAATGAGAGCAGTTAAGCTGATGTGAAATGACAGCCCTGTGCATCAGTTTAAAATAAATTGTTTGAAATGTGAGATTTCAGTAGCAATTTATTTTTTTTTTTGCCTCTAACTTATGTGCACAGTTTCTTTTAATGCAGTGCATCTACCTGAGAGTTTTGATACTTGTAACCTTTTGCAGTTGTTTTGAAGAATCATGAATTTATTTTTTGTAAACTCTTTGGCTGTTTAGTTGTCTGTGTATTCTGACAACACTGTCAATATTAGCCCATGTTAAGATGGATGACTGAGATGCCAGACTTCTAAATTAAATGTTTTGAAATTAAATGAATAAAATAAAATGCTGCTTTGGGGACATTATCTCTATGTAAGCTGTCCTGTCTTTTGTTCAGAGCAGAGATTGAGTTACCAGACACATCACTGGTGGGTTAAAACATATTTAATCGAAAGTTTAATGAGAAGCTGTGTCACATGCTAAAAACCAAACAAAATGGTGTTTGAAAAGAAGGGAAAAAAAACAAACAGAAAACACCCACAAAACCCCAAAACACCCACAGCCATCTAGAATGTGATACTGCTCACCTGTGTTCAAGTGGAGATTCCAAAGGTGGTACGTTGAGTAATTTGCTTGGTACAGAAGTCATGATGCAATTCTGCTCAGGAGCTGAAACATTGCAAAGAACATTACTTGTCATACCAATGTAGAGACTTGTAATTGCTTCTGTCCTCTTAATTTTTAAACTTTTTGAAGTGGTAACCACATCGAATCACATTTACACATGAAAATCCCAATTAATTTCATGTATATCTGCTTCAAACAGAAGCGGTATTTGCTCTTAAAGAATGCCTCTTTCTTTTAGCTAACTTCAGTCTAGTCCCTAAAACCTATGTTGGTTGTTTTGTTTTCTTTTTTTTCCTCTATCCCAGCAGTTAGTGTATTTGTATGTTTATTGGTTCTGTACATACTTCTGTAATAGAATGTCAGGAAAAGTTAGCTGTTACATGTCGCTGCATCCAGACTGCTGCTGGAACCTGAGCTAGCTCAGAGGTCATGTAAGTTCTCATTTATCTAAATCTACTTTGATTTATGTGATAAATATTACTGGTCTGAATACCCACAACAACTAATCATACTTTTTATAGCAGTTCACTGGTTATTTTTAAGTATCTGTAGGATTAGAATTTTTAATGGTAGATTTGGGTATTTATGTATTTTTATCTTTTACTTAATACTAGCTGTATTACAGTAGTAAAGTTGGTGACAATTGGAAGATCAATGCAACATCTGAAAAAGATGAAAATACAGATACTTGATGTTGTACTATTGCATAATCTTGAGGTGCTTGACCTCTGAAAATAGTTTGAAGGGTGTACTTAATAGAAATAACTACTATCTGCCAGCGCCTATTCTGGAAGTCACTTTTTCTTATTTGCTTCTGTTTCATCAAGTAATATACAAGTCCTCGTTTTTCAGTTCCTCTTTTTGCAAGGAAACCTTGCAAGACTTCTCGTCAGTAATATCCCTTTGGGCTTTAGTCTTCTAGATCTTAAGAGCTTCCTTTCCTTCCCCTCAGATCTGCTTACCTGCCTGTGTGGACACAAGGTAGAACTTAGCAATAAGACCGCTTTTTTATGTTGAAACACTCTGGCTGGTTAATAATTAGTATTATTTATTTTATTCCTGTTTATAGAAGTACCACTATCTTTCTGTTAATTCAAAAGCTAAGGAGTCCTTTCTTGTTTTAGGTACTGTCTTGTGCAGACCCTTTGTCACAAATCTATGAGCATTGTGTGGTCTGCAAGTGAGTCAGCAAGTCTCTGACATCTCTGGACTAGGCAGATAAAGAGTAGCTGTTGACCTGGTGCGTAATATCCACAATGGAGACCAAAGGTATTCTGTAGAATGATGCGGTTGCTGGGTGCCTTAATAATGTCTGGTTTTATGAATTATGCAGATCAGGTGGTTGTGGTTAACTGTATTGCCATTAAGCTGTGAAAACTAATCTTCGCTGGGTATTTTAAAGTATGAAATTCTGTTTTGAAATAGCTTTCTGACTATAGTCTGCTGGAAGGGTGGATTCCCTTTTCCCAAGCAGTATAAAGTTCAGTGGATAAATCTGTTATAGCCATAAGTATCAACAGATAAAAGATAGCTGCATATTAGGAAGCTGTGTGAAAATTTGCAGTTCCTTCATCGTCTCGTGTTGAATCATAAGAGAATGTTGCACATTCTCTTACTGGCTGAAGGCATTCTGACAATTTGTGAAGGTAGAGGCCCTCAGAATGATCCTGGAGGTGACTGAGAACTAGTAATGCTAACAGGTGTTCAGCATGCCAGACATTATATGCTTGCTCTGCCTAAAGGTGATGGATACCTCAAAGCTACCTAGGCCTTGGGCCAGAATCTAATAGCATGAGTAGACGCATTTGGAAAGTAGCAGCTGCCTTCTAAGAATTACACATCTTGTGCCAGGAACTATCCCAAAGAATTAGGAATAGCAAGAGCTTCCTGATTCAATGTCCTGACATAAAACTCACCAAAATGACAAAATCTGTCAGTGTAGGCAGCTTATTATCAAGTGCTCCTGGCAAAGTAGAATCTGGCAAACAGGAAAGATTCTCTCAAGTTTCTAGATTGTCTCCCTGTGAAACATCGAAGAGTTGAAATTCGTCATGAGGAACAGCTGACAAGTTGTTTTCCTGCAAGTGGTGGTGTGTGTGTGCTGGGCTACCTCTGGACTTAAGATGATTCAAGCTACAATCTCAGTATACCTGAGTGTAGATCATGTTCCTTTGAGGGTGATGAACTTGAAGGTAGGTGGGTGAAATTATTGGCTGTATTCAAGTAACTGTGTGCACAAGGTCACAATCCCAGAATTAGTTCTAGCTTCCTTAAAGCAGTGTGAAAGACCATTTAGGTGCACCTGTATTTTGTGTGATCTGCCTTATAGCTTTGTAGCATCTGCTCAGGACAGCAGTAAATAAGGTGAATTATTTAGCTGAATTTTCAAATAATCTGTACCTTCTTTCTCAGGAAGTTAATTAAATATAAATGTTTTTTTGCTGTGGGTGGCCCTGTAGCGTAAAAAGCATTTCTGTCCTTGCTAGAGGTTCATAAACCAAGTTGCTCTTGTTGTTCATAAACAGTTGCTCTGCATATGTTGATGACTGCTCAGCTAATGAGTCTCAGGAAGTCTCCTAAGGCAAATTCTTTCATTGGCTCTTGCCACCAGCGGTATATTGGTTTTCAGTCTGAGAGCGGATACTTCTCCCATGTTCTTCAGTTGTCAGTGGATGATCCACTGCACAGAAAGCATGTTTTTGATTGTTTTTTGGTGTGAGTCAGTAGAGAGTGTTCTGTAGAGCAAGAAGAAGAAGAAATGCTCCAGTGCAATCCATGTTCTTGCTTCCACTTCAGAAGCTTTTTCATTTCCTGAGCCCTGGGATTGCTAGATGGATTTTTGTAATCCTTACTGTAGTGATGATCTGGAGGAAACTAAAGCAGATCAACAGCAGATGTTTGTTGCAATATTCTGCAGTGGACCATAGGATTCAGATACTTTGAAATTGGTGTTTCTCTTAGGTGGCCTCCAAGACATGTCTTCTGTCTCTCAGAGTAAAGAAAATAAAGATACCCCTAGGCTACACCCAATTTATTGTTTGAAGACACCAGTTGTATTCACCAGAAGTGCTTAGTTGAAGTTCACAACATTCTTTGAAGCAGGAGTAATTCTAATGGAAAGACTTAAAATTGAGTGACACCCCCGACACAACAGCGCAACCG